TACATGTGCTTCACAGTGGGAACTACCCACATATAACATGTACTTATGCACCCACTGATTGTAATGTTCCTATCGCAAAAATCTCTGTCCATGCACTCGTGTTTTTTTTCATGTTTTTTACCTGTGGCCACTTGAAACACAAAGTTTTCAAATTATAGCTGTGATCAAGGTAATGTACCGAAGACTGGAGCGTGATTGGATTATGGTTTATGACTATATCACTTCAGCATGGACTGCATTTACCAAATCAGCAGTGAATGGGCAACATTAACCTGGCAAATGATTGAAGTACACACACCATTTACATGCACTCACTAAAACACACTCGTGCTTTTTGAATATATACGTGAGCCATGTTAATGCCCGTGTGTGTTGGACCACGCTGACGCACTGTGGGGGTGTACAGACGTCATTCACAATCAGCTGCCGGCCAAGTCCAGAAAGTAACACAACTCTCAAACACACACACACACACACACACACACACACACACACACACACACACACACTGTTAAACTGCTGCTTGTGTGGTTGATTGTGTGTGTTTGAGGGAACTTTCACTTTAATATATCAAGTAACCAAGGAGACATGGGCCACTGATCAATATTTGATTCAGTGCCACTCTAGCAGATTGTGTGTGTGTGTGTGTGTGTGTGTGTGTGTGTGGTGATCTTGGACTTCTATTCTCCATTGCTTTTACTTGTTGAGGTTGTGGCGCTGGTCTAGCGTGTGTGTCAGCAGAGAGAATGGTCACTCGCCACAGTGTTAGCTTATCGTACATTGATTTTGCCATCTCTGGGACAGCAGGTTGAGCCAAGATGGCACCCATAGCAACACAAGCTGGGATCATTAAGATGGTGACATCATATTTATTATCCATACACCTGTCCCAGGGTGCCAGATGTCTGATTTAGAATTCCTGCGGTTACTCCGACATACAGCCAGAGCGGAAACGCTGCCAAACAGACACATTCAGTTTCATCCATGGGCAGACAGGCTGGAGGAGGAAGCTGCTGTATTCAGTGTCAACTGGGAAATATGGACTATTTTTCAGTATTTTTACATTTTATAGCATTTTTATAATCAACCAGTTGCAGCTGCAACAATTAGTCGATTAGCTGTCAGATTTTGAATAAATCCACAACTGTTTTGAATCATTTTTTTAAAGAAAATAAATTATTTGATTTTAGCTTCCCAAATGTGGTTTCTTTAGTCCTCTATGACAGTAAACTGAATAATGTTGTGGACAAAATAAGACATTTGAGGACGTCACCTTTTGGGAAGTAGTGATCAACATTTTTTACCATTTTCTGACATTTTACAGACCAAACAACTAATCAAATAATCGAGAAAATTATTGACAGATTAGACAGTTTAGTTACAGCCCTGCAACTGATCGTTTAAGTAAAGTAAAAGTAGAAATACCACAGTGTAAAAATACTTTGTTACAAGTGAAAGTCCTGTATTCAAAGTCTTGAAAGTATAAAGTAGTATAAAATGGAAATACTCAAGTAAAGTACAACTACGTCAAAATTGTACTTGTTCACAGTACTTGAGGAGGATAAATGAACTTAATTAGACTCCACCACTGGTTATTTAGAATTTCTCCACTAAGATTTAAATGTTTACTGCAAATTTATATTTGTTCTAAATATCTGATATCGGGTTCCTTGATTACTAATAATCTGTATCTGTATTGGCCCTGAAAAAAGTTGACCCCCTGGTCTCCGCTGTATTTACAGATTGTGCTTTTTGTCCTTTAGTCATAAGTTAGCCACTGTAGTTTTAACATGATTGTGATACCAACATTGGTCAGCTAAGCAAACTATTTGTCACACAACTCTGTTTCTAGTTCAGTTGTAGTGCGATTTTTACTGAAATATTGGCTTTCAAAAAGGGAAAAAAATCTTGCGGAATAAGCTACAGTAACAATCCTTAGCTGAATGGCGACACTGATAGGTAGAGGATCTCTCAGTGTGAGTGTAGTTTGACTGAAGGAAACCTCTTCTGGGTACATTGTTCAGTTTCCATGATGACAGTTTCACGTAAACCTCTTCTCTGGACATATTGTCTTCTCCTGACAGCAGAGAACGAATTGGCAGGCCGACTTTTTCCAGCAGTGACACCGTCAGTCAGGCACTCGCAGGGTTGCCAAAGTCATCAAGTTTCTAAATCTGCAGGGAGCAGTTTTAAAGAGTAATGCTGCACCCAGGTTGAGTTTCTATCTCAACCTGGGGGAGAGCGGGGGGAATTCACAATTCAAACACGTTGAGAGGAGGAAGAGTGCGGTCCATTCTTCTAAAATATACAAAACTGGTAAAGGCAGGAGAGGAATGAAAATACAGTTAATATAAAAGTCTACTGCCTATACTGATACCATGGGAAATAGAATTGAATTAATGCAAATCTATTAAAATATGCAATTTTAAAGAGAAAACCTTGATTCATCCCCCTGAAATCTATCATGGTTTTGTTATGTTTAGAGATCAAACTGTAGTACACTCACTTTTATGTCGAGTCAGTGGGTAGATACAGTAAAAGCAGGTTTATTCCCTAATTAACTGCACTTTTAGGTGAATTAGTCCAGCGGTTCGAGTGCAGATGTATAAATCAGTAAGGTGTGTGTGTGTGTGTGTGAGTTGTTGACAGTCTTTACAGCAGCTGTAACCAGGCAGGCCAAAGTTTTATTAATGCCATCATTAATTTTTATGTGTGTGGACTGTAGTATCAACATGTGGCTTTTATAGCCGGCTCCTCTCGCTTTAAAATCGATGGTTATTAAACACCAAAGGCCGCGGTGAAGTCAGCGTCCTACTTTTAGGTTACTTTGCAGTTTTTTTTATGTCTGTGTTTCGATCTCGCCTGATCTTTTCTGCTCTCTGGTTTCAAGTTCCTGCTGTGTTTTTTTCCCCCTCCTTCCCTTCCTTCCTCATACTTCTTCCTTCCTCTTAAATTGATAATGATTTCCTACTTTTCTTTTATCCTCTGATCCTGTATCGCTTCTCTTCCTCGCCTTCTATCTCCTCTTTGTTTCTATCTTTTCAACCACTTTCTCCTCCATCTGCTCTACTCCTCATCTCCTTTTCCCTTTCTTTTTTCTTACTCTGCCCGGATCTCCTCCTATTCTTTTTTCCATTTTCTTCTTCTCCCTCCTCCACTCAAGTGACCTCTCTTCTTTTCCTGTTCCTCTCCATCCTTTCTCACCACTCAGCTTGCTTCACTCCCACTGCAATCCATCACCTCCTCCTCCACCCACCCCCTCTTCAACACTGGGTATAATCTGAAGTGTGTGTGTGTGTGTGTGTGTTGGTGTATCCCTCTCTCTCCCTCTCTCTCCATCCATCTGAGCCCCATGTCCTGAGTTATTACTCTCTAATCATCAATGAACCCAGAGCCAATCCACAACACACACACACACACACACACACACACACACACACTTTTCCATATTTGCAGGTGTGTATCCAGACTTCGCCGAAAACGTTTTATCTTTTCTTATCTTCATAAAAATGGGATCTGTATGGGAGAAACAAACAAATGGGACTTTTGAAAACGTCCTGATGCGAGTTTCATTGTTTGACATAAGCAGATATATCAGTTTGTCCCTAGTGGACCTTTATTTTGAAAATGGAATATCATCCAGTAATGATGGATGTTTGACTGACATTTAATGTACTGATCAATACTGCACTGGCAGGCCAAGACCTTAACCTCAAATCATTCTCATTGAATTTTGATTAGATTTCAAATCATCATGTTTTATTGTAAGAATATTTCTGGTGAGATTTTTACAGTTTTGTCATTATATAAGAAAAAAATTAATAGACATTTATAACCCTGAAGGAAGTGGTGAATGTCTAAACTATTTTAACATTAAAATGGATAATTGACCAGAATTCATTAAGCCCCATCCCCTATAGTTACTGTTGCTACACCTGTCAACCTTTGTTATTCTCACATGGTAGCTGATTAAGCTTACTTTAGGAAAAACATTGGTTAGATTTTTACTGTAATGTTCGTACTTTCACACAAGATGCTCGTTAGCTGAGCATGCTAATGTTTGCATCTTGTTAGAGCAGGTAAACACATGTATTAATCTATTTGTTTGCATTTGTGTGTTTGGTTTTGGGAATAAAAAGAAAGCATCATCCACCAAGCTAGGGGTGGGAATGTCACGATTCCATTTGATTCTGATATCAATGTGTTTCATCGTTCAAGCAAGAATCGCGATGCTACTAAGAATCAATCAATCGACATTGAATGTTGGTCTTATTTAAATACTCATGCACACCATTTCAACATGTGGAGAAATCTAAAGCTTGACAGGCCTGCTGTGCCTAGTTACGGTTGCTAAGCTGTGACTGGACAATCACTGTTCTTGGGCATGGTCAGCTTTAAAAATAAATATTAACTGGTGGCAACTCTCATCCATTAATCCAATATTAGTGTATGTTCTGCTCTATGTGATCATGCCATCAATTACCTGAGTGCTGAATCATTCATCACCTACACTTATTTTTAAACTGCCTGTCTTTTATTTCCTCCTTAAATAATTTCCCCCTGGGATTATTAAAGTATTTCTGATTCTCTCCTTCTGTATGTCCTGCCTTTTCGTCTTATTTTCTCCTCCTCCTTATCTCCTCCTCTCCCCTCCTCCTCCCCTCATCACTGCTCTTCCAACACTTATCCTTCTCTGTCGCAGGGATTGCGCTCTCCCATCACTCCTTCGTACCCTCTCTCCTCTGCCGCACGTTCATTTGTCGTGCTGCTGAGTTTGCGCAGGGCTGACATCCATCACAAACTAATAATGTTGTGTAGAAAAATGGATGAAGAGAGAGATTTTTCTTCTACTTTTTTAAAAAAAAAAAAAAAAAAAAAACTTGTTTAAAAATGAAGGATGGATTGTGTTTGTGGGGTGGAGACTGTGTATCCAGAAGATGACACACATGGAGGGACGCTGCATGTGTTTAACTATGTTATGTGGTCTATTTGTCCTCCAGGGGCAGGGTACCCGTATGTTCTGGAAGCCCCAGCCCACGACTTTATCTCTGGTAAACAAGCAAGCAAAAAACAATTCCTGTATCATTCCCAGTCTGCCCCTCCAACTACCAGCTACCCCTCAGTCCTCACACTCTGCTTCAGCTAATACTGCCGCATCGCTACTCCATCATTAATATTTAATAAGTGGCAAATAAGTGTTGCTCCAACTTTATCAGGCACTTGAGAGCGTCGTATTAACGCCGCCATCAATTAAAAAAATCACACGATTGGTCTCTGCAGACTCCAACCATGAGAGTGTGTGTGTGTGTGTGTGTGTGTGTGTCTAAGGGCAAGAAAAGATTCAAAATAAAAGCACAGGCCGAAGTCTGATGATCCTGCAGTTTGCAAAGTGGCGCCTGCAAACACACACACACACACACACACACCACACACACACACACACACACACACACACACACACACACACACACCTTTTGGCTTCATATTAATCAACAGCCAACATGAAAAATATCTGTGTGCATATTATTCCCATTCCGCTGTGTGTCTGCGTGCCGAAAAAGACTAACTCTCCCAGCCCGGCCTTATTAAAGCTAGCCTCAAGCCCTAATGGAAAGTAATAAAGAGCTCTGACCATCTTAGTTTAGGTGTGTGTGTGTGTGTGTGTGTGTGTGTGTGTGTGTGTGTGTGTGTGTGTGTGTGTGTGTGTGTGTGTGTGTGATAGGGGAGATGAATGGTTCTGATTAGGCGGCGCAAGCTGCAGACAAGCATGGTGATCAATGTCTCCCTTCCCTCTGCTGCTCAAGAACAGACATATGTGTCATGGACACACACACACACACACACACACACACACACACACGCATGCATGTTGGTTTTTTCGTCAACCGTGTGCAGTGTGTGTTTCAGTGTGTGTTTCAGTGTGCTTCTGTGCAACTTTTAATACTCTTTGTTTCTCCCAAGATTGATGCTGTGTTTGCTTCATTTCTCCGTATCCATATGTATGAATGCATACACACACTGAGAGTAACCTTGTACGTACAGCACATAAATGTATTATACTGTATATGTATTCATGTGTTGCTGTCAGTTGAAAATAACACAGTAAATGTATGTGCGATTGAAAAGCCCTGAAATTGGTTACGCCAGGGTATAAAAGTGTAAATCAGCGGACTTGTGTGTCTGCAGAGGACTGCAGAACGGAAGTGCTGACTCGGCAGCAGCGGAGATGGGTGGTTGGAGGGGTTGGAGGGGTGCGGGGGGAGTTGTGGGTGGACGAAATAAAGGGAGAGAGAGAGAGTAAGAGAAATGAATGGATGCAGAGCGGAAATGGAAGGATGATTTTAAAAAAGTAGGGGTGCAAAACGTAACGTAGGGCAGAAGGAGGAAAAACTAAAGAGAGAGCAGGGAGGGAAATAAATAAGAGACATGGAGGGGGGAGTTGATGGCAAAGGTCTGGGGATTGGACGGATAAAATCAATTGAGATGGAATGAGAGAGGCAGATGAGAGAGAGAGAAAGAGAGAAGCAGCGCAGGAAGCCAGCAGCAGGTCCCTTGGCTTTTGGTTCACCAGGCTTTCATCCAGGAAATGAAACGACTTACCTCTCCCCTGTGTGATCGGGCTGCACACACACACACACACACACTGAAACACAGAGAAACACATTTCCCAGATGCATTTGAACCACATGCCCACACACTTACTCACACACACTTATGTTGATGGACTGTTATTGTGATCATCAGTGCTACCATCTGCCCTTCTGGACTTTGCGTATGTGTCTGTGTGTCCGTAGTGTGTGTTGCCACCGGAGAAATCATGCCGCTGCTTTCTCAATCACATCATCGCAGCCTCAGTGTTGATGCAGAGTTAATTTTGTTCATCATCATTGTCATCATCACCAGTGTTTGAGTGTTGCTTAATTGAGAATCATAAAACAGAAGAGTCATTAGTTCAAAGCTGGTAAACACACGTCTCAGCTCATAGAAGCGTATTTCAAACACGATATACGATACAAATCTTTATATTTATTTAACATTCCTTTGTATTGGAGTCTGACCAATAACTAATATTGTCAATATTAATATGAGTTGAACTGGCATACATGTCAGTAAATTAATATACCAGTGCAGAAGTGCTATAGATCTCTGGGTTCATTTACATAGTTTGTCCACCGTAGGCACTGACTAGTTTAATTTTCAACTGTAAAACTTCCCACCAAATACATATTTTGGTCATTTTTTGGATCTTAATCAAAAATGTTAGCCTAAAAATGAATGCAATGTATTGTTGCCAGATTTTCAAGCCCCCAAATATTGATATTGATATTGATATTGATATTGGTGTTAAATATTGGTGGGGCTTTGATGTTCTAAACTCCCCAGATTCGTCAGTGGAGCGTTCCTTTTAATGTAAGTTGGTTCCTGTCAGTTTCTGCATCAGCTAGAGTACATAAAGTAAATTAAGTACAGTTTGGGGTCACACTCCAAGAAACCATCAGTCAACGTGTGGGTGGCTGACTGTGTAGGCTCCAAAGCTCTGATGAGACCGAGCTGAGGAGTGACCTCATGGCGAGAGTGAGAGAAATCAATCCAGTAGCATTGGGACCCTAATGCATTCATGTTACGCCCATGGAATTGATCTGTGTGTGTGTGTGTGTGTGTGTGTGTGTGTGTGTGTGTGTGTGTGTGAGAATGTGTGTGTGTGAGAATGTGTGTGTGTGAGAATGTGTGTGTGTGAGAATGTGTGTGTGTGTGTGTGTGTGTGAGAATGTGTGTGTGTGTGTGTGTTCAGTTGAAGATGAAAAGCTGTATTGATCGCAGACTTACAAATAGTTGGAAGAAGTTCAGTGCTCAGACTCTGTTAAGTTAAATAGTGAGATACAGTAGTGAGGCTGCTCCAGACAGTTAAGCTGGAATAGAATAAGCCTGTTACATTGTGAGGCCTCCACTCTCCAGTAGTGTGGTAGTGTCTCATGCGTGTAGAAGCAGAGGTGGGATTAATTAACACTTGTAGTCCACTCTGTGATCTAGGTGTCAACTTTCTCCAGATGCGTGTTCAGAAGTGAGATTAAAAACCAAGCAAGTGCAGTAGTGTTAGCCTCCAGTGGATACTATGTCAGGACAAAACACTCTGTGGCTTATGTGGGATATTAACACCAATTTCACATTGTGTTACAGGGAGATCTACAGTGATTTACTGTATACAGGATTAACACAAATATAATCTCAACTAGCCATGCAAAACGTGTTGATGAAAGATATTATAACAGCAGTTATAAAATGATGATGATGATGATGATGATGATAATAATAATAATAATAATAATAATAATAATAATAATACGGTACTCTTTATTTAGCACTTTTCTTAACAATGTTACAAAGTGCTGTACAAAGGAAAAAATAAAAACCATCAAGGCAGATCAAATGACAATAAGGAACATGAGCAGAGAAGTAATAAAATATGAGTAAGAAAAAATAAGAATTAAAACAAAACAAATAAAAGCCAAATATTTCCAAAAGCTTGTCCCAAAGGAAAAGTTTTATGAAGAGATTTAAAAGAACCAAGAGATGTAGTGTGTCTCAGTTCCATAGTGTGGGGGCTCTAATGGCAAAATCTCCATCACCTTTTGTCACAGACCGTGACCTGGGGATAACCAGCAGGGCTGCATCTGCAGATCTCAAGGGTCGAGGGGGCACATACAAGGATAATGAATCAGAAATGAATGTGGGAGCAAGTCAGTTTTGAAGCTTTAATGTACGTAGGGAGACATGTTCATATTTCCTTTTGGAGCAGAACAGTTCTGTACCACCTTTTGTAGATCACCAGAGACGGTGGCTAGTTGGAACATTTACACCTTTTTTTTTTTTGCCCAACCCTAATGGAGACAATAATAAGAAATCCTAAAGAACATCAGCTGATCTCAGTCTTGGACTTTATCCTTAAATCCTTAAACGTCCCTGCTTGGACCCCAAACAGAAACCTCATTTGGTTCTTGGAAAAATCCTAGCTGTGGAACATTTACAACAAGTCCACTTGATGATGTTTGATGACTTCTCTCGTCTTTCTACCCTGCTCTGCTTTTAAATTCAGAATAATATCCCAGTTGAGGGAGTCGGTTTTAGTGTTACTCCCTTAAGAAACGTTAAACATACATCACAGACTCTCCGGAAGTGATTAAAGAGGGAATGCCAAGGCAGTTCTTTGCATAATAACTTTTTGTGATAGTGCTGGCCTGTGTGTGTGTGTGTGTGTGTGTGTGTGTGTGTGTGTGTGTGTGTGTGTGGACGTATACACCATTACACCTCATTAAGCAGACATTGTACTGGAGCCATAAGATGGGTGTCACAGCCGCCGTCGTCCGACGAGCAAACAGAGTGATTGAGTGAGAGACGAGGCGCTTTGCCTGCTCGCCCGGGACCGACGCCGTTACAGCACATTTACATAAACATCACCTCCTTTTACATCTCATTAGCATAGAGAACACATCAACATGAAGGAAGGAGCGGAGGAGGGATAGATGGATAATGAATGGATGAAGAAGGGAGGGGAGAGCAAGAAGGAGATGCTACGGTTATAGTGTGCTGAGGGAATGGAGATGGCCATATTAAGCACCAGAGGAAACATTTACAGATGCATTGTTGGTTTTATTACTCCAACAACGTTTCTTTTCTGTCTTTAGGGGCCAATTTGTCTTTTTAGTTTTTACCCTTTTCTTCCTGCACTTAACTCCATTCTCTCCTGGGCTGCCTTTTCTTTTCTCTTCCTCTGCAGCTGCACAATCGGCTCATTTCCAGAATCAGCTCATTTCAACTGAATCGCGGTGATCAGTTGATTCACTCGGGGGCGAGGGAAATCTGCGCTGAGCTTTTGTGTAACTTTGGTCAACTTTAATATGCTAATTTGTTTTGTGGATCAGATGCAGTTGTCTTCAAAGTGCTGAACTTTGAGAGGAGTTGAGAACCAAAACAGAGGAAGCTATCATATCAAAGTATAAATGCCACACAAAGGCTGCATAGTTTGAAGACAGGAATCTGTGGTAGAAAAGCT